TCCGTTGTTAATAAAACAATATTTCACATAAAGCTATCAAAGAGTTTTTTGTTAACTGGTATGGTAGAGTGGCACGCAACATAATTTTTGAGTAAATAAGCATTTGTCTTAAGTATTTAGATATGATTCATACCCTCCAACTACTACGGAATTTCCGTAGTTTAAGAAAATATATTTCATAGAGGTTAAGAATTAATATTTTAATTAAATAGAATTAAACCTTTTGACGCAAATGGGTCACCGTTATACCTTTTATACATATTTTTTTTCTAACGCTCATTCTACTAGAAAAAATTACTTTTGGTATTTTTTAATTGTAAAAATCAGTCTTAAAAAATCTGTTAGATTATATGAACTATATTTGAACTAAAATATAATATTAAAAAGAAGTAGGAAAAATTTTCCTTTTATTTATTTTCAAAAATTTATTAATAAATGATTTTCTAAATTAAAGTAATTTCAACGATTAATAACTGTTTCTCTTAGATCTAAATATAATTGCAATTAAGTGCAAATTTGAAAATTATTATTTGGAAATGAGCTGTGTTTGGAAGATGCCGTATTTCATAAACCTAAATAATTAATATATTTAATATAATATTTTTTACTTATTTTGACCTTAATTAATACAAAATAACGAAAAAGTATGAAAAATTTGCTTAATAAAAATTCTGCATCAAAGGGTGAAGAAATTTATTTTTATACTGAAAATTTGTATATGAATAAATAATTTTAAAATATATATAGAATACCAGGTAGACAAACGGCTATATTTTTAGGTTTTGATAAAAAAAAATATATATATATTTGAGTAATCTTTGTGTATATTAAAAATTCTCACCATAGTTCTCTACCACTAGAAAAAATAATTCGCAAGAATAATTCAACTATTAAACTTTGTATATTTCAAATATATTTTAATACTTCAAATTTATATAATATAAATTTTCAAATATATTTTAATACTTTCGAAAGAATCTGGTAATTGAAATTTTTGGCCAAAGATTTTTTAAACTTTCTAGCTGTAGTTATTAAAATATTTATTTACACTTAATTTTACAGCTGTTGCTTTTCAGATTTTAATTATTTGATACTGGTTTAGAACAACAATTTTTTAATCGTTTAATTACATTTATACTATACCCTGTTGTTGCTAGTTAAGAAAAGACCATTACCCCTATGGAGAAGAGCCTGTTTGCATCCAACTGCACGCTAAATGGATGCTAAGCTCGAAACGCGAACGAATATCAACATCGCCAATTCTTGAAACGACGTAGCAGAGTCGTCTTTTTACTTATAAAAAACAACACGAATTGAATTTTTGTCCTACGAGTTTGACTTTTAAAAGCTTTTATTTTGTTTTGAAAGCATAATTTTATAATTTGATAGCTAAATAAAACAGAACTATATGCTTCGCGGATGATTACTTAAATCCTATAACGCAATGGTGTTTTCTTAACGTTATCGGAATATAGTCTTAAAATTTGGTTTTTTGCCGGACAGTCGAATTTACAGATCTGAAGTGGCATTAGTCAAATTCTTAATTTGATTTTATTGTATGCATAAACTGGAAATAAATGAACTGAATATTTAGGTTTTCGTTTGAAGAAAAGGACGGAAATTAACGTTGGCTATAGTTATCAGATCAATATTAAATTAAGAAACTGATGTAAAATTTATTGATTATAAATTTTATGACAAGGTTTCGTAATTGAGAATAATGTTTCTTAAAATCATAGATGGTTAAAAATAAGTCATAACTCTTGGAACCCGTATGACCTATTCGCAGAACCTTTTAGTTCCATGGAACACCATTTGGGAATCACTGGGCTACACGATTATTTGATCAATTTAATACTTAAATGTTAAAATTTTGTTTAATTTTGATTCGATTATTGTAGCGTGATTTTTTTCTCCTTCTTCTTATTATTTTTTTTATGCGCTTGAGTTTAATTGATTTTTCTTGCGTGCGAGAAAAAAGTAGGTCGAGTTTTTACTCTAAGAAATTTTTTAGCCGCTTATGTTTTCGTTTCGTATTCCCATTAAATGTGGAAAGTCTTGGGTCACATAATTATATGATCATCTATGCTATACTTTGTATTTAATTTTTAATGTCACGCAAATGGCATTTTGAGTTCATTTACACTTACACGAAATGCCTCATGAGTTTCTTGCTTAATGTTTTTTTTTTTTTTTTCAAACTTAGATTAAAATGAATGGCCCATCTTGATTAAAAAAATTTATTAATTAAAAGCAGACACTGGCAAGTTTTTATTAGAAAACATTCCCTCAGACTTCTAAACAGGTTTTTTTTTTTTTTTTTTTGGCGTTGATTAACAATGGAAGATACAAAAAACTTTAACCTTCAGATACGAGGTAGAAAATAAAATGTATATACTTTGAAATGTGTACATTAGAAGAAAGTAAACGATATAAAACTTAATTAACTTTTTCTGGTTATTTTTTAAATATTATATAAAATATTATGAATTAAAATTTTTACTCTATAAACTACCTCTACCAATAAAATCAAATACCTCTATTTTGAATTACAAGAAATTATTAAAAGTATATATTTTTTCTGTTGAAGACAGAAAATTTCTTGAGTTCTAAGCTCATTATAATTTTTCGTGAAGCTCATCAGTTTATTATTGCTACATTTTTCAAAATATAATATCTTCATAATTTATTTTTTCTAGCTGCCTGGGGAATGAGGTTACTCTTTGGCAGTACAAATCTAGATTTCTTCTTGTTTTTATTTGTTCTTGTATTAATGTGTATTTGTTTATTTTGATTATAGGAAATTGCGTGTTTTGGTTATATTTTACAAGCAATTTTTGGTTGTTCTGAATGAAATTATTATTAATTATTATTTTAGCATTTTTTTGAAAATTATGGAATGTTTTCATAGTGTATTTCTTCACGTTTTCGTTATGAAATAAATCAATCGTAGTCACATAACTGAGATATTTATAAACTGTCTCAAAAACTATTCAGGTGGTTGCTGGAATCTAATTTTTTAGTTTCTAATAATATTTAACTGTAATTAAAACTCCGACCATTGATACATAGATAATCATAATAGCTTTTTAACTTATTAATGCCTATCCTCCTTTTTAAATAACGTTTTTTTTCTGTCCAAGAAGAAAAGAGTGTTAGTTTAATTGTTCTAACATTCTGATCTCTTTGAGGAAACTAGATAGTTCTATATATATATATATACACATTATTCAATACTCAAATTATGGCTCGAGAGGTGCGTGGGAAGGAAATACAGAGCATGTAATGGAGCATTTTGATGAGTTTTCTATCTTATCTCAAGACAAGAGATGGAATTAATGCTTCTGCTGCCTATTATGCTAAAATGTCCCCAATGATTAAATGGCTGCTGGACAGACTGAAAATTCTTACTAAAATTCAATACATAAGAAACTCGCAGTCATCTCTTGAAAATAGTTAAAATTGAAATCAAAGTATTTAAGCGCGGACAACAGCTAGACGGTGAAAAAATTTTGGTTAATATATTGATAAATAATAATTGTTTAAAATGAATTAAGATGTTAGCATCGGATGAGGGGGCGAAGAATTAGAATATTTTAAAACAATTATGATGTGCATTTGGCTGGGTTACCACTAACGTTTATGTCGTTGTCAAGATAATTTTGATAGCAGACCAAGCTTGTCGCCAGATGCAGTTTATAAGTATAATATGTATGTTTGAATATGAAATCTGAACGCAGTTCTTTGGTAAAGATGAAATAGTGTTTAACGTAAACATATATCCATTGAGGTAAAAAAACAAACATGGGCTACCAATTTTTTTACATAAGGGATTTTCATAACAAAAAAAAAAAAAAAAAAAACACTTTTTGTTGCAAGGTCTTAATGGGTTAAAGGGATACAAGCAGAAAAGTTTTTTTTATTTAAGTAATACATTTTGTTGAATATGTTTGGTTGGTCTTAGGTGTATAGAAGAACTTAATCTTAAGATGCTACTGAAAATATCAATTTCATTATTTGCAAAAATTGCAATAATTACCAACAATATCTGAAATAATTGTAAACAGTTTTCTTTGATTTTTACAGAGGCAATAATTTTGCAGCCTCTTTATACATTTAGGTATTTTGCAAGAGGAATTTTTACGTTTAGTTATATTGTCGTTCGAATCTTACGAGGCTATTTTAAAGACAAAAGTTAACCACATTTAATGTCATATTGTTTTTTACGAACTTATCAAATTAAAAAATGTCAGTTTTCAATGTTTCTGTATTACATTTCAATAGGAACATTTTCAGCTTGCTATTAGTAAATTTTATCCAACTATAGACATTAAATTTGTATGAGTAGAACCTTTAGCTGCTTTCTAACAATTTTCTGTAGCAATATTAATAATTATTATTACACCCCATAAGAAATACTCGATATTGTTAAATGTGTTTTGTAAATTAACTATTTAGAAATAATTTCAGATGATGTTTATACCAGTCACGTTGAGAAGTGTTTATAACGAAGCAAAATTTACCCCCAAAAAAATGTAAAAAAAAAAAAGTCGTATTTTTTGGAATTGAAGCCGTATTTGGAGAACTATTGGATCGATTTCATTAAAAGATTCAATTTTTTGTCATTTAAAGTTACAAAATTATTTTAAATAATGTATGCTACACAGTTCTAAATTTATTTAATTAACAATCCGAACTTTCGATCGATGTTCTTTGTTGATTAAGAGTCCAAATCAGTTTAAAGAAAATTATATGTCTATTCCGAGAAAGTACATTTTTGTTTCTGATTTCGTTACTTAAAATACTGTTCGCCCTGATTTACTAACGTATTTAAGGTACAGCCCTCAAATCTTTAAGATTAAGCCCATCTTAGTTAACGAAAATCCTATAAATTTAAAAGTTACTCAGGGTGTGCGTTCACTTTTTTACTTAGTGCACCGTAAACTGTCTTGTACTTTTTTTTTCATATGCTATATATTAATTACTTTCATTCATTTTAGGTTAAATATTTAGATTTCAACCATGCGTGAATGTATCAGTATCCATGTTGGCCAAGCTGGCGTGCAAATTGGCAATGCTTGTTGGGAGCTGTACTGCCTGGAACACGGCATTCAGCCTGATGGTCAGATGCCAAGTGATAAAACCATAGGCGGTGGAGACGATTCCTTTAACACCTTTTTCAGTGAAACTGGAGCAGGAAAGCATGTCCCAAGAGCAGTCTATGTCGACTTAGAACCGACAGTAGTTGATGAGGTTCGAACCGGGACCTACCGACAGCTCTTTCATCCGGAGCAGCTAATCACGGGAAAGGAAGACGCTGCCAACAACTACGCTAGAGGTCACTACACCATTGGCAAAGAAATCGTAGACCTAGTGTTGGACAGGATTCGAAAATTGGCTGATCAATGTACTGGTCTGCAGGGATTTCTCATATTCCACAGCTTTGGAGGAGGCACTGGGTCTGGCTTCACTTCTTTACTGATGGAAAGATTGTCCGTAGATTACGGAAAGAAGTCAAAGTTGGAATTTGCCATTTATCCTGCTCCTCAGGTGATTTTTATTATTACAATTATTGTTATTAAAAAAACATACTTGACCAGTTTGAGGTTATGAATTACTTAAAAACACATTAGACTTTTCTAAATTGTGAGCCCTATTCTAGTATTTTACAAAAAAAAAAAAAAACAGNATTAATTTTAAAAAAAAAAAAAAAACAGTAGAGTACTTTCCTTGGGGGGGGGATGCTGGGCTTCAGCCTACTAGTTTCAAATAACAGGTTCAATGGTTGATTCAAATGCAACTTTTGACTCATACTAATCAGAACACTGAAGTGACTAACTATAAAACAACTAAATAGTTAATAAGTCCGTATATTTTGATATTGAATTGCTACTTGAGTAAATTTTGCTTTAATACTTCTAATTGTTGTTTAATCCAGATGCTATTGCTGCCCCACTAAATAAAGACTATTTTTGCCTTAATATTTCAAAATGTGGATTAATATTGACTTCTAATACAATTACTGCCCGAACAAACGAAATAATTTTTGTCATTACTTAACTCTGGTAATGCATGTTATTCTGATTATTGCTCTGTGGTACAGTTTTAAAAATTTTATTAAAAGTCTTACATTTAAAATTTTACATTGGGGAACATTTTTTTCTTCTGTCGCTTGATATTTTAAACGAGGCTACAGTTTTTATGAAATTTAATAATGTTTTCTCGATCAGGATTTTTTAACACTTTTCATTCGAGCTAATACTAAGTGTTTCACTCCCACTTCTTTGTTGCGTAAGGCGAGATTGAAGAAAGGGGATAATACATTTCAGTTTATGACGTGATACGTTAAGTTCATATGTGTTTTGTCTCAAGTGTTATTTTCAAAGGCGCGGACAAATGTATGTATTAAAACATATACGTTCTTTACTAAAAATAACATTTTGAAAAAAAAATTTACGTTCGTTGCAAAATATCTGATTTAAAATCCCCACACCCGAATTCTCTAAGATCAAGTACTTGTATAATTGCATCAAAAAATCTCAATACGCGGGAAATAATACACCGATTTAGTTTACATTACATTATGTTATTTTAAATGACGAAATTTAATAACATGATGTACAAAATTTCACAAACATAGCTTCGAAATAGTTCGATTATTTATAATAAAGTATAATTTTAAAAAACATTGAAACTTATTTTTCGCATCAAACCCTTTTTGTTAAATAAGGTTGTTAATTGTATCTGAAAATGTTTCGAATTGCCCAGTTAGTTTCAGAGATAAGCTGAAAAACACAAAGAGTAAAAATTATACTACTTAACCTTTAGTTTTCAACAACACTTGTAAATTAACTGTGAGGGCTTTATTTTTAGGGTTGTGACTGTCCCTCATATCTTAATTTAAAATTCACTTTAGACAGAGAGAGGGAGATCTGTTTGGCTCAAAAACTAGTTTTACGTTGGAAAAGTGGGAAAATCTTGAAATTGAGATTTGACCACTTCCTGACTGAAGTACTTGAATTTCAAGTGAAGATCTATGGCGGGTGACGTTGAAAATTTATATCGTTTACTAACCCCTACAGGCAAACTGTATAGCCATTTTTCAACGGAAAAAAAAATTAAGAAATACATTAAAAAATTCTCCGAGCCTAATATATGAGTTTTCCCTTAGGTATCCACAGCAGTTGTCGAACCTTACAATTCCATTCTTACCACCCACACGACGCTGGAGCATTCAGACTGCGCCTTCATGGTCGACAACGAAGCAATCTACGACATCTGTCGAAGAAATCTCGACATCGAAAGGCCCACATACACAAATCTTAATCGTCTGATCGGACAGATAGTATCTTCAATCACAGCCTCACTCCGCTTCGACGGAGCACTGAATGTCGATCTGACCGAATTCCAGACGAATCTCGTGCCATATCCCAGAATCCACTTCCCATTGGTAACCTACGCCCCTGTGATATCAGCGGAAAAGGCTTACCACGAACAACTGACTGTAGCAGAGATCACCAACGCCTGTTTCGAGCCTGCAAACCAAATGGTTAAATGTGATCCAAGGCATGGAAAATACATGGCTTGCTGTCTGCTGTACAGAGGTGATGTAGTCCCCAAGGATGTCAATGCAGCCATCGCTGCCATTAAGACTAAACGTTCCATACAGTTCGTCGATTGGTGCCCAACTGGGTTTAAGGTGAGTAATATTGTATAAACAATGTATTACATTTTACTCTTATTTAAAATAAAATCATTTCCGAACAGCTCGCTGTGGGGCAGGGGGTCATGGAGATTAAAGCTCCGTAATTTCGTGAACAACGGTATGATTATGGCAATGTGGTCAGAACTGCGCACAGTGCCGCCTTTACTTCCCAAACAAGATGGTACCCATCGATCTGATTCTGGGTAGGCTTCAGGCCGCCTCTGGGAATCGAACACCAGTTCTTCACAATGACAGTTCAGTGGCTTAACCACTGAGCTATCATTGTGAATTAATTATACATATTATTAATTATACTATAAAAATAGGAAAAATACAAAAAAAAATTAATTTCTATTTCTATTAATTATACAAAAAAAAGGAAAAACAAAAAAAAGTTACCCAGTGAAAAACTGCTAAGTATAACTCCATCATAGTTTTTCATCGCTTAAATCGTATTAGCTAACTTTACCATTTTACCCTTTAAATAGCAGGGTATACATTTTAATATTTTTGAATTGAGTAAATCTTTTAACAATTTGGACTTTAACGGTGTAGAACTATGTTATTTTTTTAACATAAATCCTAATAATGAAACTTTTGTGCTGCCAATTTTTTTTTCTTTACGATAAAAAGATTTCTTTTTTATGAAGAATTCTAGGCACAAATGGAAAAAAGCCTTAATATCGGATTGCCGTACTCAAAGTACAAAAACTGCAATTTTGTATACAGGATCTTCAAAAATTCGAAATATGAAAATAGGGCTTTTTGTGTTTTGAGGAAGGAGTCCGCCATAAATTTTGTCTTTGGTCCCGTAAAACATTTTGTTCTGCCTTCTCTACTATTATAAGATATTAGAAAATAAAACTAAATAATTTGATTTATAGGTGGGTATCAACTACCAGCCACCAACAGTTGTACCTGGAGGTGACCTGGCTAAAGTACAGCGCGCTGTTTGTATGCTCTCCAATACTACAGCAATCGCTGAAGCTTGGGCACGACTGGATCACAAGTTCGATCTCATGTATGCTAAGAGGGCTTTCGTCCATTGGTATGTCGGAGAAGGTATGGAAGAGGGCGAGTTTTCAGAAGCAAGAGAAGATTTGGCAGCTTTGGAGAAAGATTATGAAGAAGTTGGCATCGATTCCACCGAGGGTGGTGAAGAAGAAGGAGAGGAAGAATATTAAAACTTTTTTTTCCAGGACTTTAACAACAATGTTGTTTGTCTGCATTTCTGTCATACTACGTTCTTGGATTATTATTTTTTACTTCGACCGTATGGTTAAATTTGTATTTGCTTTTTATTGTTTAAAAATCTATTAAAATCATTTCAAAATTGAATTGTAATGCTGTCTATTCTTTGTATAAAAAGTACTAAAGAACCTACCGGTGAATGCGACGAAAAAAAAAATCCTTAAATTCATTAGAGCGCCAATTAACCGGATCATTGATGTACCCTGTACTGGTCCAAAACTTATCTTTGGTTTTTCACGAAAATACTTCTTTATTTTCAAAATGTCTGAAAAGGGGGTCAAAAATTGGCTTCTTTTGTGACCTTAAAAAGAACCTCACATTCATTCCGCATAGTTTCAATGTGGGTGAAAGTAGTTTCGAATAAGGGAACAGGTTGCAAATGGTAAATTCTTTTTTTAGAAAAAAGTAAAACTTCTAAACACTCTCTAAAAAGCAAAAGTACAAAACTGTACTTCTAATATTTAAAACATAGGGTAAACTAACCAGTGAAGGAACACTTAGCTTCGTTTGCCTTTTAAAAAATTATATTAATTTCAAAATTCGTAATTTTAGTTAAATGACAGTGTCAACATCTTAGTTACTAATTGCAAATTATGTAAAAAAAATTGTAGAGAACTTACATAATATTATTTTAAAGTTTTGGATGTTCAAATAACAAGTAGTAAGAAGACCAAGTAAAGGAACAGCTCTTACCAGTGAATGAACACCCAGTAAGGAACACTTAATTTCGGTTATTTTTTAATATTCTTTATGAATTTATAAACCATACAAAAATTTAAAAACAAGTCTATTCTTGAAATTATAACATATAAATACTTGGAAAATGTTAACTTTTTTTTGTAATCATGAATGGAAAATTAAAGTGTCAACATATTAACACATACTGTTCATTCACTGGGAAATCTATACCCAGTAAAGGAACATCCCTGTTCCCTCACTGGTTAGAAGTTATTTTTCGTATTTTTAACATATTTCGATGCGGAACATCACTAAAGGTAGAAGAAAATTAAAGTTTATCTTTTATTTTCATTAACTTATAAAAAATCCAGTAAAGGAACACTTGTTCCTTTACTGGTTTTTCATCGTATTGTGATCCAGTGAATAAACACCCCCTTATCTCAGTACTTAATTATGCTTAAAAAAATAAAACGTCACTTCAATAACTATATTTTGAATTCTCTTTTTCACAGTGAAAAAAATAAAACTATTACATGCAATTAATTCCACTTCAAACATATAAGTTCCTTATAATTTTTTCAAAGAAACAAGATGTTACCGAGATAATAACAAATTCAAAATTTTTTACAGAGAAGTCTATTTGACCAGGTAATCCAAAACATTGCTAGATGACTTTTTAATGTTTGGCAGTAAGCTATTGTTACCAATCAATCTAAAGAAAAACTTTCAAATTCTTATTTTTAATCAATATGTATGAAATGTTCCTTTACTGGTTGGTTTACCTCATATAACCTCTGATTTAAAGCAAAGAACAAAAGCAAAATAAATCGCAAATGAAAGTTCATAAAATAAAGAAACGAAGAAAGTTTTCGCTTTTTTCACGTTATTTTTTGCTTTAATCTACATAGCACAAAGAATACCTTATCCCAGGGGTCGAAAAAACTCAGAAATTTTACCCGTTCCAGAGGACGGCTTGTCCAACAATGTACCCGTCCTCCTTTGAAACTAACCCGCAGCTTCTAAATAAATAAAAATATAATTTTCTCTTATTTATTACAAACATTTATATAAATTGCACAATGAATTAGCAGTTACTAGAATTACAATATACAGTAATAAAAGAAATACTAGTTTACTAATAGTAACCTAGTATTTATTTTATAAAATAATTTAAATGACAAGGGTCAATTTATCCGAGGGTACTGGGTTTTTTAAATGAATCAAATATGACGCTTGCCAGTTCCACAATCAAGCCAATGATTTACAGAGGTTTCAGCACAGAAATCTGAAAGGAGTTTTCCATTCAGGTAGATGTTCATAATTGCGGTTGACGCTTGTTCTTTAAGACCAGTACGTAATGTGTTTTTTCATAAGTTCATTGCTGAAAAGCCCCTTTCAACCGCTGCAGTACTCCCAGACAGAGAAAACATCAACTCCACCATGCGCAGTATGTTGCTGCATTTCGAAATTAGAGGGTCATTTTAGAAGTGAGGAGCTAGACTCCTGTAAGATAATAAAAATTGAAAATGTATCACGAACATTAACGGGAAGATGGCCGTCTGCGCGGACGTCGAATTCGAAAAATTCGTTGTCCGCGGGGAATTTTTGACCGCCGAGGACGGGCGGTTTTTCGAGCCCTGCCCTATCCTTTGTTGAACTTCTAAACTATTCGATATTGGAACTTCTAAACTATGGATTCAGATTTTCCAACTAATTGACGCTCACTTTTTACAATGAAATCAGTTTCGAATAAATTCTGTTTTGCAAAGGATTATAAAGAAATCGTAAGATGTCCACCCTTTTAGTCAAGACACACTCTAAACTTTGAGTAAAGTGGACAAAGCAATTTTCTATAAATATTTAATGAATTATACGGGTGTTTTCAAACTAATTTTGATGCTCACTTTTTAATAATAGATTACTTAGAAACAAATTCCACCAAACAAAAAATTGTTCAAAAACAAATTCCGCCTAGCAAAAAATCGTTCATCTTTATGTTAACGATTTTGCAATGCACTGTACGAAAAACATTTCTTTTTATTTCTTTCATAAATAATTCTGGCCTTTCTTACTTTTGCACTCCATATGTTCTGATCATCGCGTGCTTAGGACCGAATAATAATTTTTCAAAAATTTTCTGATAATATTTTAGACATATATTAGTATTTTCAGAAAGTATGATTCTCATAAAATATATGTCAATATGAAACAAGTTTGAAATGAATATGTCGTAAAAAAAAATTGTAAGTTGTCCTCGCTCTACATTTGGAATTTGCATGATATAGGCTAAAGAATTTTTTAAAAACTTCCTATAAATGTTTTTAGGCACACATTGATATGAATAGGTAATATTATGCTCATATATACTTGCATGAAATAAGTTTCAAATGAATTACACGTAGACATCATTTATAAAAATTCCAACATTTTCTTTGCATTAAGTCCATAAATCCATTAAATTTCGTTTGTTTTGAATTTTTTTTTAAAAAAAAGATTATTATTTTTTTTTTCTTTAAATTTCAATACATCGTTTTAGACTTACATTATGCATATTTTCGAAAAATAATGATGCCCATATTTTGCTGTCAAACATCTTTCAAATTAGTCATGGAACTGAATAGTTTTAGAAAGATCACAAGGTTTTCACACAAGGAATAACAATATGTGTGCTCTGGAATTCGCGTGGTTTTGATTAAATAGGAAGTTTTCTAAAACTATCTCTAAACATACTTAGAAATTTCTGTAAAACATTACACCCATATTTCAACATGAAACAAGTTTCAAATTAATCCCGCCTCTGTTGCATGGAAGGTTAAACATTTCACAAAAAATCCACAGTTTCGTAGCTGGATGGGGGGGGGGGGAGAAGACATGTTTCCCGTTCGAAAATAAAATCCTTTTCAATTTTTAGTCCCATTTTTTTTAATTTTTCCATGATGTCTATTATTAATATAGTTTTCATTACACATAAGGTTTTTTTTACAAAAAAGGAAAAAAAAAGCACTTTAGAATAAATGCTTTTTATTCAATTAAATTAAAACTATAAACGCGATAAAAAAAACATTCGAAATGTAACGGAAGCTACAGCTGTTAAATTTTTAACCAAATAGAAGGAAAAATTTCTTAAACACTATTTAAAGTTTTCAAAATCTTTTCAATGCGCATTTTACAGTTAAGTGTCAATTTTTTAATTTTTCTGCAACTTAAAATGGTTCTAAGAAGCATGTACTATTGATTAACCTGACTTCATATCAATGGTTGACTGAATGTAAACAATAACAAGAACAAGTCTCATAAAACCGGAAGAAGTTTAGAAAATTTCCGGTGTATCCCTCCACTAATGTTATGGGTGAACAGTCTTAATATGTAATTATGCGATGTGTAAACAGTCTTAATATTCCAGGACGTTTTATTATAATGATTTGTCTTACGTGTAACTTTACCATTAAGAGTTTTCTGTAATTTATAAATTCTAACTGCACTACTGGCCATTAAAATTGCTACACCAAGAAGGCGACGTACCACGAACGTGAAGTTTGCAGGACGGATAAAGCATGTTGTGGTATGCAAATGATTAGCTTATGCTTATCAACGCATTCATGCAAAGCAGGCTGCTGTAGCGACAACTACAATGTGTATAAAGGAAGATATTTGATAGTAAGTTTCTCATACAGAAATTGAATTCGAGCGTTGTTCTTGGGTAAAAAAATTTTTGTTATGCCTCGTGTAAGAAGGAGAAATGCCTACCAGCAAGTGTCTGAGTTTGATAGAAGTGGAATTGGGGCCTACCGGGATAGCGGTTTATCATACCGAAGTATTGCTGCTCGCGTTGGTCGAGATCTCATGACTGTTAGCAGAATATGGAATCGATGGGTTCATGAAAGTCATATAGAACGCGGTGTAGGATCTCAGTTGCCCCCCCCCATCACTAACAGCCGAGAAGACAGACATGTTATCCACGTGGCCTTAAGGGATCGTACAGTTACGTCATGAACCCTGAGTCAACCAATGCAGTCATTTGCAAGATAACAAGAGTCTGCACGAACAGTTCGACGACGTTTGCAGCAACATGGACTGCCAGCACAGCGACTATGTCTTCGACTACCCTTGACGCTGCATCACAGACAGGAGTGCCTCCAATGGCGTGATCAACGACAAACCTGGAAGCAGGAATAGTATGACGTCTTCTTTTCAGACGAATCCAGGTTCTGTATACAGCATCATGATAGCCGCATCCGTGTTTGGCGACATCGTGGAGAACGCCCATTGGCAGTTCACATTAGACATCGTCATATTGGCCCATCACCTGGAGTAACGGTATGAGCAGGGGCGGATCTACTTAAGGCCTTTTTGGGCTGCAGCCCAGGGCCCCGTGGAAACAAAGGGCCCCAGTCCCCACTGAAAACAAT